TAATACGACAAGCGCGATGGCAATCAAAAGAGCAATCAATACGTATTATATTGAGTCCGAATAATAAACGTTGAAGTGAACAACCAAAGTGAAAGTGAGATCAATATTCATCGGTTTCATAACACAGAAACGCGACGATGAAAAAAATTTCTTATTTGGCGAACGCGAACGAGGTGCACGAACCGAACCAGTGCTGGCTGACTATCTGCACTGCAATGGGTATGAATGTACTGTGTGTTTTGTGTATTCAAGAGAGCAAAAACTAAATCAATCAATTTATTAGGGTTTTTGTGCATAAAAGCGGCACGTAAAGTTAATTGCATTTTCAGCCGAGGAAAATAAAACATACACACCGCGCGCGCCAAATGAGAGCCATTTATTTGATTTGAGCTGCATACGAAACCTGCTATACGACGACGACGTCGACGACGATGTTTGTACGTACGAGCCATTTTCTAGTCGGGATGTGCTATTGCACGTCGCGCACACATTCGATGCTTTTCCATTTGACCTGGATTAAAAAAATACCTACCAACGATTGTTGCAATTTCTTTCGCTTGCAGCAATGCAAATTGAAGCGAATGATGGCTGAACACAATCGTGACACTTGCGCCGATAAAAATGAAAATTTGATTTTCCCATAGCGTTCAGGCGATTGAACGGAGCGAGCACGGTTTTCGATTTTATGGCCTTTGCCATTTTGTTGTTGGTGAAAACGTTCTCATCTGATTTTCGATAATAATTTTGACTTTCTTGCTGTGCCTCGATTCGGTTGCGGGGCAGACAGAGCTCTTAGCCAATTATTGTTATTATTATTGCCGTTTTGAGTTGACATTCGGTGGGAAAAATACATCAATTGAAGCCATGGCATTCAACGAACAGATCCGTTTCCATTTCGATTTCGATTTCTATTGCATGCTGAGAAGCAGCAACAGAAAAAAAAGAAGAAGAAGAAAAAAAGCGGAGTAGAAAATGTGTATCTATCAAAAACCGCATAACCCAATCTTAACCTTGTTGATTGACGACATAAGTGGATTCCGAATAATGCTGGAAGCCATATTTATCAATTATTCTCGCCTAATAACACACACTGATGGATCTCATTACTGCTTGTAATGAGTTAAAGAGCTTGAACCGGCTTATTAAAAGTTGACATGAAAATGGAATTTTTTTCTTCTTTTAACGTTTTGTTTTGCTAGTCTCGTTGAACCGTTTCGCTGTCGCGGTCAAACGGTTTTCTATTTCATTGAATGGAATGCGGCGATAGAAACAGCTGAAATAGAAATTGGAGAAACTGACAATGTGAGCGAGTATGTGCGCGCACAATTCGCATTTGCAGAAAGAGTAGAATGAAAGAAAAATATCGGCCTCTCCTTCAATTATTCATTTATAATTGTGATTTGTGCGCGAAAGTCCATTGATTGTCTGTCTTTTTTTTCCCAACATCATCAATCCATTTACTCAAGCCACTTGTGTTGTTTGCAAAGAGGTGCGTGAGTTACACATTGGCACCGCCGTCACTACCGCCCCAACATAATGTTAATTACAATGTTTTGTTTTTTATTTCTGTTTCATTTTGTCGGTCACCGGTCACTGGTCATCTTTATAATTTCTGGAATTTGGAATTTTTTGTTTCCTTCGCTGATTTCGATTTTCACCAAATTATAAAAAAAAATCTGGTTTTTCTGGCTGGGCGCTTTATGTTTACTTTTCCATTCATACCGTGTAGCCAGTTCATTTCTTCATTCGAATAGCACGGGTCATGCTATACGTGTGGTGCATGCCCTGTCTGGGCAAGGTGCTCTCTCATAAATGGTTCGCATTGATGTACACGGTCGTGCAGAATATTCATTTGCACGCCGAAAAATCGCTCACAATTCAAAAATAAGACAATAACGACGACGACGACGACGACGATTATGATGATGAAAAGAAGAGCGAAAGAAACTAGTTCGCATGTCTGCGTTCATTCGAAAAGGTAAAAAAAGAAGCACACACGAAATATAAAAAAAACCCAACAATGAGCAGTAAAGAAGCAAAAGGAACGAAAAAAAAAGTGGTGATGACCATCATGTCGGTCAAGCAAGAACCGTATACGCAACGTTTTCTCTTTCACTCTTTTGCTGCGATTCGTGATTCGCCTAGTTTTCGCACTGCCAAAGCGAACTGTCTTCCAACGATGTGTGTCGGTTTTTGTCATGCACAAGCACACACACATCATCGTCATCGTCATCGCCATCATCATCGACGTTGAAAGATGTTTTCAAAAGCCACATATCGATTAATTTGACTGTAAATTTTATTCGGACGTTTTGTTTTGCATTCGACACACCAATCAATGGAATTTTCTCTTTTAACTTCGTCGCGTTCGCGTCATGTGTCGTGCACCTTTTTTCATGTTGAATTCATCTCTTTCTCTCTCTGTGTGTATGTGTCGGAAATTACCATCATTGATTTTCAAGTGACAGCCATCGATCGTTTTGCATGAACATTGTTTTCTTCGCAGTAAAATTGGCAAAAGAAAAAAAAGCAACGAGTGACTCTCACGTCGGAAAGTCACACACAATAAACTGTGGTATGTGGCCAGCACAACTGTCGATATACAAATTGACTTTACACAAACCGCCATTGATCGAAATACATAAAATCGGTCCTATCTGAGATGTAGCAATGGCTCATCGGTCATTATTTCAGTTATTTTAATTTTATTGTAAATGTTATGTTTTTTGTTCGCTCATTCGGTGGGTACGATCAAACATATCAAATAGCTTATTAATTAATAATCCATCTCATTCCAATTGCAAGGCGCACTGAAGCACAAACATTCAACTCGAATTCTTCGAAAACTTTTACCATTTTGCATGTTGTTAAAAATGCAAATCTTTGGCTCATTCGCCGCCAATTTTTAGCTTTCAGTTTGAATTGCTGCTTTCTTTCCTTCTCCCCTGCCATATTGTTGTTTCTTTTTTTTTAATGTTATTCATCCGATTGATGCTGTTTAAACATTGTGTACGTATTTCACTTTCGATTAAAGTGATATTAGCGGTTATTCAATCGGCGGGTTCCGAATAAAATTAAGTTAAACAGTCCGAAAATTTTATAGGTTGATCCAAATAACCTCTCTCAAAATGCACAATAGTCAAAATACAAATAAAATGATTCATAAGCAATTCATTAATTAATTAAACCCAAGTTTTGAGTGAGAGTGTTGGTTGTGTTAGTGGTTCAATGGAAGTACACACGTGCCGGATCACAGGCCACCGCCATCCATCATCATTCACCAACAACCAAATAATTTACACAAATACATTTCCCAATGCGAACCCCGCACCGCTGTTTCAATAGAGTAGCGCGCATATCTGAAACAAAAACAAAATAAAAAAATATTTCGCGCATTTCTTCATTTCTCCATTTGAGAAGAGTAGATGAAAAATACAATGCCATAAATAAATTATATACGAAAGTAAACGTTTCACCTGCAGAAGAAAAAGAAGTGGATTCGTATTTAGAAAGAGTGTGATACTCAGTCAGACCGACTCAATGATCTGAACGAACTGGAAAAAAAATTCCATTTCGCTGTGCCTTTTTGATGTTTTCATAAGAAGACGAAGGAGAAGTATGAAGCAAAAAAACTAAATTCCGCGCATATAAATATACAAACAGGAAATCGCTATTTTTGAAACTGACAAAATAGCATTGAGATTTTTATGAGAGTGTGCTTCTCGTTGGTGTTTTTTTTTCTAGGTGAATCGTGTTTGAAGCTCAATTCTCATAATTTCAATGCATGGGTAGTCAGTCGATCGTTGAAAATGACCGTTTCAATGTTGCCTTGACATTTGCTCGTTTACAAAAATAATGAGCCAGTGCGTCATCTTTGTTATTTGCCAGCCAGATCAAGAGTGTGCAGACAAAAATTGATCCTCTTCAATCGATCAGAATGTAAAGCGTATTTCGGTTGGATAGGTGCGGTCATTAGCGAATTCATTGATTTGGTTAAAACAAAAATTTGGCGTATTTTTATTAGGCTTTTATGAAATCTGGTTTGATATCATCTCATCTTTCGTTTGTATTCACAGTTTGACACGGTTTAACAGGCGTTTATTGTTTTTTTCGGGGCGGCATTATATCCATATGATATTTGAATGGTTTGGAGCGAAAATGTAATACAGAAAAGTTGAGCGGAAAAGGGATAGCTATATAGTAAACTGTATAGTAAACTATCCCTTTTCATTTGACATTTTTCCGCTCAACTTTTCTGTATTACATTTTCGCTCAAAACCATTCATTTTATGTGGCTTTTGTTTATTATCGAAATCGATATGCGCATTGAGGCGAATAAAAAAGAAGAAGAAGCTGACTGTTATCGAGCGATCCACACAACAGCCTACCACAATGGAACAATAAACATGTTAAACGAAATCGCTGCTATATGTTTTGCTCTCAATGCCGTTGCATCAACATCTTGTTTTTGTTGTTTGCTACAATTTTATGGAATCAACATTTTATTTTACATCATTAACGTGAGAAGACAGCATCTCGCTCGAATGAATCGAAATCCAAACCGTATTATCTACGTCTTTTGTGCAGAAAAATATTTCTACTACTTTGTTTTGCTACCCATACGAGAGAAAAAAAAAACTACACATCTCAGAATTTCTCCTGCAATTACCATTTCTCTTGTGTTGTGTTGTGCTATGCGAGCGTCGCGCGCGCGCTCGTATGCCGTCAAACGCTCTCCCAACGACGCTCTTGCACGATGAAGAGAAATAAATAATTCACATGAAAATCGGAAAAGATTCGCACGATTCAATTCACATTCTCTCAAGATCAAGCTCAGCTCCATGAATGAATTACTAACGCAAATCACTGCAATTATATTCGTCATTCGCTTCCTATATTCTCCCAAATTAGAATTTTCCTCTTTTTTTCTTTTTACATACAAGAAAACAGTTAATAAAATGTAAACAAATTAACATTACAATTTCTATCTTTCTTTTCAGCTATGCGAAGTGAATCGAATTGCTGCCAAACTGATTTGAAATTTTTTTTGGATTTGACGCGTACCGTGTATGGTGCAGTTAGGCAGACAGCGTAAAAGAGAGAGAAAAGTAAAGAAAATACAGTAAGCTAATTTTGCGAATTGTGTGTATACGATTCAAGTGGGTGAATCGAAATTATACACGACCGCGTCGAGAAGTAGAAACACCATGGCATTACTTTTGCGCAAAGACGTTCAAAAAGCGTCGTACTATGTGTGGTTTTTGGGAGCTGAAGAGTCACGCGCATTGCGCGGTTCACGCATTTTGATGTCGGCCATACCCTATATTGTGGATCGATCGCAGGAAATCGACCCAATCAAAGTAACACTTCAAGTATCGCACAAGGGCATGAAGATTGTGCAGGTAAATTGACTGGTTTCAACATTTATTCTCGTTTGTCGTTTTTTTTAGCAACAACATCAATTATCATTTCATAACTTCCCGTTTGATTTAACGATGGACATTGCAAAAGATAAGCTTTTAACGATGCCAATATATTGTGAATGACGTTATTTTTTTTTCTTGTCCGTGTGTTCGTTACAGGGTTCGTCGAAACATTTCATTACTCACTCTGCGATCACATGCTCTGTTCAAACAGAGGATATGGTTGCTTGTGTTTTACTGCTATACAATCCGATAACCAAGTGTCCGTTGCACATTCACGCCTATCGCTGTGACTCGGAATCAACGGCTCAAGCCTTGAACCAACAGTTACAAGTGCTTATCAATCGACCGGAAAATCAAAAACGTTTTACTGAATTGGAAGCACGGTATGTATATGCTCAATTTGTTGCCGCATAAAATTTTAAACGAAAACCACAAACCACTAATTGGCTTGTTTTTTTTTCTACTTCTATTCATGTTTTATTCAAGGTTGGGCTTATCAAGCAGCTCACCGAATGCTAGAAATTCTCTTCCGCCGGTGCCATCATCGCAATCAAAACCAAACGTAGCAAAAGAAGTGAAACGCTCCCATCATCGATCAACGGATGAACGGCAAACGGTACCATCGTCGTCTAATGTGAACGGCGGCGGTGGCAAACGATTTGATTCGTCATTGGGCAGTAGCGACACAGGCACTAGCACACGTGAATCGGATGAAGGTAGCGAAGAGCGGATTTCAGTTGATTTATCGCCAACACAACCGTCTATATTCGATTCGCTTGCGGCTGAATTACGTGCAAAATTAAATGGAAATGGGCCACCGTTATTGTTGCCACCGCGCGATTACGATACTATGCATCGTTCAAAGGGCAATTTAGCTGCAATCGAATTACGTCGCTGTCGCAATAAACTAATCGTCGGCGCCACAATTCCTGAAGTAACCAAAAAGCATGGTATTTCTTCACGCGGATCGTCTGGCATTGGTTCAGATTTAGCACCAAGTCCCGAGCGGCAAGAAGGACAGAGCTCTTCAGGTATGTTGAAAATGGGCCATGAAATACAGTGTTTTTTTTGTAATCAATTACCACTGACATGCTAATTGAATAATTGCTCAATATCTCTTTCAAACAGATGACGATTGGATGCTAAAGAAGCGTGAACCAGAGTTAAAACCAAGTTCTACGTCGTTGCATCGGTCGAAAGAAAAGGCACAGCCAATTGTGCCAGCGCAACGCAATGAAAAACCACCGTCGTATTTGTATCCATTGCAAAAGCCAGCTTATATTATCCCAGCAAGCAAAAGTTCAAGAGATTATGGAGATAGTGACAATGAGACAACGGATTCGCCTCCAACACCGCCGAAAGAGGAGGAAATCAAACCGAAATTGGTTCGACCACGAAATTTGGACGCTCATTTCAAGCAAATCTTGAATGAACGATACTTGGAAGAGAAAGACAATGACAGAGACCAACAGTTGAGTAATGACGAACGATTCTTTAAGAACGACAGTGTTCCTGTTCACTATGACCGTAGTATGGAAAAGAAGAGTAAAACACATGGAAGCGGCTCTGAATTGAAACATGTTCAACGAACAAAAAGTGCTCCGCTAAAAGATGTGGATGAACCCGAAGAGACTCATCGGTATCGGTATCATGAGTCGAAAGGTGGATACAATAACAATAACAATTCGAGCGAACGAGTTCGAAAGAGTCGTGACAGTTTTGAAGACGATAGCCAGCATGAATACAGTGAAAATTTGACCGACAAGCAAAAATATCATCAATCATTGATGAAGAAACAACAAAATCCTCGTGAATATTACGACGATGGATTCCGTCCGAAAGAGCCCCCAATTTTGCGTGAATTGAAAAGCTCGCACCGTAATGAACCGATCAAATCGACCAAACCATATTACGATATGGATGAACGTACGATTGATAGTAAAAAGTATCGTCATAAATTAAAACTGCCACCGCCACCACCCGCCGAAGGCTACGATGATGATTTCGACCGGAGGCCATACAAGGAGCCAGAGATAATGCCGTATCATGAAAAGGTTGAGTGTATGAAATCGCCAGTTATGCGATACAAGTCATATGATGATAGCGAATATCGGGACATTGAATGCGATGATGAGTGTACAAGTGATTGTGAAAAGGATTTTGCACCACCGCCACCGCCTCCGCCTCACTCATACCCCACAAAATATCGTGGAATGTATGAACCAAATGAAAAGCACAGCGGCAATCGACAACGTTACAGAGACATGAAACGCGGTTCGCCAGAGATGATTCATGATGGTCCAAAAGAGAGGTATGATCCAAAGGAAAGGCACCATCATCCAAGCGACAACTATAGACAAATGGATCGTTATCGTCAAGACATTGAACGACCACCATACCCAATGGAAAAGTCCAATCATTCAAGACGAATGGTACCAATGCCACGGCCTGATTTCGATATGATACCACCACCACCGCCGCCCAAACACTATCCACCACGTCAAAATTCGATGTCCAACGTTGATTGGAGTTCCGATGAAGAGTTTGGACGATCGTCACCATCGAATGTTCGAATCATTCCCAGAGAACACTATGAAAAGAACTCACGCATGGCACCATCGAAATCACTTGGAAACTTAGCCAAAGGCTATCGGCATAGCTACGCTGAGCCACCACCACCACCTCGTGGCCCAATGCCACGGAACGGTGGCCGAGTCGGATTGGCAGCTGTGCAACCATATTGATTTTTTTCTTCTTCTTCGTCGCAATAAAAAAAAAACGTCACAATCTATTGATGCCATTTAATTATTAAAATTTTGAATTTTACTCTTAGCGCAACAAGAAATCAAATTGCATGTTTAATTTATTGTCAACTTTATTATACAAATTATCACCGTTTCGTCCAGTGTTCGTCTCTGTAAATAGTGAAAATGAAAATTTGACAAAAACAAATACTTTTTTGCTTTTTTGTTTTAATTTTTTTCTCTTTATTTTTATTATTTTTTTTTTGTTATTCATTATATGATTGAATTTGTTGAAACGTATTTAATGCGTTTTCGGAATGATTTTTTTGAAATACTGGAGCAATATTACACCAGTTAAAATTTATTATATCTAGAACATTTACAGTGTATTGAGCTATAATTACAAATAAAAAAACAAAGCATATTATTCAAATTGTACGTTGTTTTAATTTGTTGGAAACTTTTTCTTTTTTCCCATAGACTAACGCATCAAGAAATGTCAAAGAGAATGAATCTTCCTATAAATCATTCTACAACTGCCGAAACATTTTTCATCCAAGTTGGATGATCCAACAAATATAAACATTTCATTTCACTCTATTTAGTTCAACCTAAAACGGAGTAATTTGGCCCCCAGTCGATGACCCACACATCATGATTTGGGTCAATCAATAGCGAATCAAGGATTGAATAAAGAAAAGGCAAATGTAAATTTCGAATGGTGTTTTTAAATTCTCACGAGTTCAATGAAAAGGGAGGCTTGATTTGATTTGATTGGTAGACATTGACACACATATATGCTGTATTCTAATTATGGTAATTATTTGCACTACTTTGCGTTGGTGTACAAAAATGAACATGCAAATCAAATGTGCATCAGTCATTCTTGTTCAATCGTCTACACTCGATGCTGAAATGAAAGTATATCGCCATATTGACCATTACGTGAACAAATTCAATTTGTTCAAACAGTTTTGTTTCATTTCAAAGAAATGGCATACCAAGTCGCCAAAAGACAAGTTCAAAATTTTGTATAATATTCCAAAGAAATTGTTTGAATGCTATGGTGTGCGCGTTCCCAGTGATTACATATCAATTGGTACTCTCACTTTGGCAATGTCATTGTTTTCTATTATTTTATCATCGTAATTTATACACTTTACTACTGGGGCATAAGAGATCAGTTATTGTTTGGTACTCGATGCTTTTGCGGAATAGGCCTTACGGTTGCGGTAATTAAATCCATCAGTGTTAATTCACAATGAAATAAAAAATAATCAATATCTATTTAACAAGACCGTTTCGTGTATATTGGAAAACCATTGGCAAAGATCGCTACAAATTACATCGGCTCTTGGTTTTTTCGGGTGATTACATCTATCAACAAACAAAAAGTACAACCGGGTTTTCGATGGTGTGCGAAAAAGGTGTTCAAAGATTATTGAAAAATTGCGTAATAACAACCTGCATTATTACCATTTCGACCAGTCTCTTTGGATTACACGCGTCGATTTTACTTTTCCGTACACAACGTGTCAAGGGAAAGTATAGGAATTGGTCCCGAAAACTTTTTTCGCAAAATTGGTTTAGATCATCATAAAAACTCATGAAACGCGTAGAAAACCACTTTTTGAGACACTTTTCCGTTCGTGTGCCGTCGTCGTCGTTGTCGTTGTCGTTGTCGTTGTCGTTGTCGTTGTCGTTGTCGTTGTCGTCGTCGTCGTCGTAGCTGTTTGTAAACACGATAACTCAAAAAATAATTGAGATAATCAAAATCTGGAATTGCCAAAAGTTTTGTATCCGAAAAACTTAGTTCGTGTTCGAAGATGAGCCATTTTCGATTTGATCCCGGGGTACTTGCCCTAAGAAAAACCTCAAAAAATTGACACTTTTGTATGAGAGGTACCCGTAAATCGACTTCGATTGGCTTCAAACTTTCTGGGAAATAAGATTCTGAAAGTTTGAAACCAATCGGAATCGATTTACTGGTACCTCCCATACAAATTTTTTGAAATTTCGACCAAAATTACCAATTTTTGGACAATTTTGTATGGGAGGTACCCGTTAATCGATTCTGATTGGTTTCAAACTTTCTGTGGTTTCATTTTTTGGAGAAAAAATAAGATTCTGAAAGTTTCATGTTGATCGTTTGCAGAAGTTTGATTTTTTGTCCTCAATTTTTGTCGACATTTTTTTGGAAAAAAATTAAGGGCCAAAAACCAAACTTCTGCAAATGCGATCAACATGAAACTTTCAGAATCTTATTTTTTCTCCAAAAAATGAAACCTCAGAAAGTTTAAAGCCAATAAGAATCGGTTTACGGGTACCTCTCATACAAAATTGTTGAAGTTTTAGTTAAACTTTATTAGTTAAAATTTTATTTTCACTGCCTTTATTTCAAGAAAATTCACAAAAAATAACCAAAAGTATCTACGGACAACGAAGGCCAACGGTACGGAAAAGTTCGGGATTACCAATGTAATTCTTTTTATTTATTCGCGACGGTGTATGGGTATCGCCGTGTACAATTCAATTTCCATTCGTAGATGAATCCAGTGTGGCATTTTGTGTGGACATCATCATTCAAATGGTCATTGGCATATTTGGTATCATCACGATTCTTAGTTTCGAATTGATGCAAGTTATCATAAACAACGCAGTTGAAGTGTGCAGTGATGGGATTACGTTCAATACTGATGTTCTAACTGAACAATTGACCTCAGCCAGTCAAATGACCTTGGAGTCACATGTTAATTTCCGCAACATTATAATTCAAATCCAGGATTTTGATCGGTATCATTTGAATCTTGAAAAATAAGCTGATTGAGTCGAGGTGATGATTGAATTTTTATTTTATAGATTTATTAAAGATTTCACCGATTTATTTTTCTGGAAAACATTTCTTGCTCCACCATCACTGGTGGTTTTTACTGCTTTCGCAGCTTATATGCAACATTCGGTATGAAAATCGACAATTCAGTCAAATGTTGGATCAAATAGTGAGTGATGACTTTTTTTTAGTTGAATTTTACATCTGGCTATGGTGCTTCTGCGGCCTCATACATAGAACTGATGATCCTTTGTTATATGGGACAAAATGTTCGCAACGCAGTGAGTTTGTCTTGTCATTCTCTGTCAATCGTTTGATATTATCATGAGTCGGTAGCGAGAACAACAAAAAGACAGTTTCCTTTCTCACAATCAAACAGAATGACCAGATTTATGATGCATTGAATAGAGTACCATGGTATTATATGCCCGTATCGGAACAAAAACATCTGGCTCATTAACTATGCAGAATGCAAAATAGCACAAGTTTAACCATTCGATCATTTGGAGAACTCAACTATGACATGGCAACTAATGTTAGATTGATCGATTTTGGAATAGAACACTATTAAAAATTTCATTCTATTTTTTCAGATGAGGAAGAAAATTTATAAATTCTTTATGATTTTGATCAATTTCATTGGATGAGTGAATTGGATTTCTTTTTCCAGTGATATACTTGCATATGTGGTCAATTAGAATTTGAAGTTACTTAACTTGTAGTATACTTGATTACTACTTCGAACAACAGAGGGTTTGGAATGCAGCACAGCTATAAAACAGATTTTTTTTAAAATGTAACACAGATTATTCAAGCACTACAAAGACAACATTCTATTTTTTTGCTTTTTATTTCAATTTATTTCCGTTTTGTTTCAATAAAAAAAGAAATTAAATCTGATGTGTTATTTCAAGTTGATTTTCAAAATTTCAACTAATGTATGACACCTTTTTTTGCTCTTAGTTTTCTAAGGTAGGTAGTTTTTCTGAGTTGAAATTAAACGTTTCTGTCTAAGCACTTTCTAAGAACATTTTGTTTTGAAGTGAAACGATAAATGTGTTCGGAATGTATTTTTGTTGTTGATGTGAGTTTGCTTGAAGTAGAAATCGACTACCGTTGCAATAAAATGCGGCTGTCATCTTCAACGGACAAACGCCATTCGTAGCCATGGCCATGGCCACGCATTGCAGCACGCTGCTTCAACGAATCGATATTATTTGCGGCATCTTTGAGTTTGAAACGAAACTCTTTGAGCGATGTGCATGTGTCCAAAAATGTAATCGCCTCGTTCACCGAAAGAACCGTGTATCTTATGTCAATGTCCACTAGCTGATCCATAGCCATAGCGACTTCGGTTTTATTGGTAGCTCTGAATGGATCTTCTCCGCAATCGCCGCTCACAACCACTTTGACCAATGATGATCGATGTATTCGGATGAACTCCAAAAAGGCAGTATTCAACTGACACTTATGAGCGCATACATTCAACGTCTCGATTTGGTCGAACGCTAGTTGAAATTCTGGTTCTTCTTCTGCCCAAAACTCCACTGTAAAGTGTTTCACATTTTGAAAGTGAACAACGCCATCGGTGTGAATGAAGAATTCACAGAAGCCAACCGCCAAAGTTTCGATGCGTTGCAAGTGTTCGCTAATACTTTGAATGAAGGCTGCGGTAACCAAGAAGTAGTCATGAAGCTCCAAACTTTTTATCTGTGGATTCAAGCGCAACAATTCAACAATATTCGAGCTATCGAATGAATAATCGACAAGATAATATTCAATGATTGCCACATGCTCCAAATTCGGAAAATGTTTTGCGATAAAGCTGCAATTTTTTGCACCAGTTCCAATAAACTCCAAGCGTCGCATCTGCGGAAACCACACATTGAAATCAGTGACATCGGCCTTCAAATCAGAGTAGCTGTTGAATCGAACAGCTTCGATTTTTGTAAACGGCTTTCTGAGATTTTCCCATGCGCCGTCCCACGCAAAAGAGAATTCAATTTTCTCCAACGAATCTGCGCAGAAACTGTTCACGTATCGCTCCAAAAGAACATCGGGATTGTTCATACACACGAGGCTGCGAATCTTATGTCCAAAACAGCGCAGAAGTTTCAAGCTCATCAATAAATCATGTATATGAATTTTGCACTTGTCCACTTTGTAGGATGGTTTGTCATTTCGAAGAATTACTTTCTTCCCCCCGTACGTGCTCGTGAGTAGTGTGCATGAACGAAGCATATGAACGAAGCATTGACGATTGTTATGACTCTCGTGTACGCCAAATCGAGGGCTCCTTTGAAACTTTTGCTGGAGTGGGCCACGTTCAACAGATCCATGAGCTCCAATTTCTTGAAGATGTGCTCGAGGCAATCGTCTGGGACATCGGTGATTTTCATTTGATTTGCCATCCTGAATTTAGCCTCTGGAATTGCAAAAACAACAGATTTGGTTAAAAAAATACAATCAATGAGCATTTAGATTGGATTGAATTGGTTTGTTCGAGTTGGCATTTTTGGTTTATTGTGGTTTTGTTTACTGGTTTGGTGCTATTCAAAATAAAGATACGGCACAGAAATCCTAGATTTTTTCCGTAATACGTAACGTAATAATGATATTAATTGATACTAAACCGATCTCTATGAATATATATCGTGGATAATATAGATGCATTTTGTTTGCATCGACTCATTTGATAGCATTTAGAATGAAAAAAAAATCCAAAGTTGCGACTACTTGTTTTCATGATTGTTTGACGCCATTTTGTGTTGCATTATGTATATTGGTATGAATCACTTTGCAAAAAAATCTTCTTTCATTTATTTGAAATACTTACCGGATGAATAATCTTTTCTATTTATTTCGATGTCGCAAATCGATACTGCATCCCAATTTAATGCCCTCACAAATAGTTTTTCGACTTTGGAAATGATGCGCAATTCTTAATATTGATTTGAAAATTACTTAGTATGCACCGTCCAGACTCAGAGAATATGTATAAACCGTTTAAGAGTTGAGTGGAAAGCGTTGGTTTGTAAAATGACAGCTACCAAGGAATGAGAGTCACAATCAAGCATTTCGCATTTAGGCGAGAGCACACTAATACAAGCATACACTTTGGAAAGGAGATGTATGCGGACGATGTGGATGTTTGAGCATAATTGCTGACTGTATCCAATACGAGATCTCCAAACAGAATGTAATTTTGTCGGGATGGCGCTGTCAGTCGCTATCCTCACACATCGGATTTGATTTAATGTTTGTGCCAATAGTTGGAATATTGATGGAATTATGGTTTTCTTGCACATTTATTCGATATAAGGACAAAATTGAAATAAACTGCATTTCAGTGTGACGTAAACATTACACCCATAACAATTTGATTGATTTGCCTATTTTCGGTATCAAGTGCTAATAGCTTAGAGAAAAAAAAAGAACGGCTGAAATTTCTGGAAAAAAATAATTGGTACAAAATGTTCTCTCTTGCTCGCATTGTATCAACGAACATTCACTTTGTATTTCAATGCAATGAAATAAGTTATCATTTAAATTTAATTTATTTTTGGACGAAACCAATTGAATTGAATTCGTTCAAACCTGCAACACTAGTTTATAAACTAAATTAAAAATTCTTTAGTCTATTTTGATGCAATCAGATGACATTGAAAAGTATTTTCCACTCTTCTCATGTTCTAACATCAAATCAGAATGGAAATCTATCTATTTCTATTATTCCGATTTATTTCTGGAAGGTTATTTTTGATGAATCCAACTCGATTTAATCCGTTTTTCAAATGCATCGTTTTTTATACTTTCAAAAGAGTAGAAATACTTTCTGATTTCATCCTAGATCTATTTTTGTTTATTTTGCATGCAAAGTATGTGACTATAAAATGTGGACGAATTTCAGAATAATATCAGTCCAACACTAACCATTGATAGTTAAACATAAAAATGTTCTCGTTTTCTATTTAGTATTATTACATACACAGTGGTTGTAAACATCGACTTGGTGTCTATGACGAAGTTGTAGTATAATGTATATATAATAATAATGAATCAAAATAATTGTAGTACTTGACTAGAACTACAACTTTGCACACCATCTCGTGTGTACATTTGGCCATAGAAGCCAATGCAAAAGCAGCGGCGCTCCGAGAATTTCATACACACTTCCCATGTAGACGGTCGCAATACAGCCGAAAATCGAAAAAAAAAGTTTAATTTTTTTTTTCGATTCTCATACAGTATTTTGTGTGGTCAATCCATTGATGTTATCGCCACATCGAAATTCGCACTCCTTATCAGTTTGTTATCAATGGGAAACATTTGGTTCCGGACTAATAACATCACCATCTCATTACTCAAATATATTTCATCTAATAACTATACTAATAAGATACCATGCATCTTATTACTCGTTCGACCAATAACATTCTAATAACTATACTCACTAGATATATTACTAGTGCAAAAAGTAATGAGTAATAATATAGGTTCATCTTATTAGACTAATAAGTAATAAGACCACTAATAAGATACCGAAAATGCCAAAGTATAAAAATAAGATCGAAAAAATACAGAACACACTGAACTGGCTCAATTATAATGAATACTCTTGTTGTCATGTAAAAGTCGTTTTTACTTGATCGAAAATCTAATTATAGTTTCACGCAATTGGTTGACTTTAATTACACTCTAATTACAACATGTAATCAAATCACATCAAAGATAGAACTTATTCTTCAATTTTCGACTTATTATAAATAATGACCAGCGATACACGGAACCATTTATACGTATACCGAGGAGATCATATTGTGCGAAAATTCGGAAATTTAGTGCAATAATGCCAAAAAAGACAACAAATATCAGTGATGTAGTTGGATCTGCCTATCCTATGAAAGTAGTAGAGAGAGTGTTCTTTTATTAAAATAAAAGTTCGATTACTTTTTATAGAAAAGTTTCCATTGATGTCAATTCCAATTTCAGAGACACTACTGTTGCAAGAATTTCTCTTTCATGAGTGCAAAACTAGCATTTGTTCTCTCATTTGGTCACTGGAAGGTAGAAGTGGGAGGCTTTTACAAAGACAAACTTGTATGGCATGTAAATTTGTATTCCCAAAAAATTTCTCCGGTGCATAGAAATTGAATTTATGCTGAACCATCCAAAAACTGTAATAATAACTTCCTTTCAAAATATGATGTACAATGAAAAATGAAAATATGATGTACAATGAAAATTTTTGACAATAGCAATGATCTTTTGTGATTTTTATTAATTTTCTATTCATAATTCAATCAATAAAACGTATTAAATGCGTTTTGAGAATACTATTATTTTTCCTTCAAACAATGGAACATAATTGAAACGGTAAACGTTTAACATAAAAAAAATACAATGATTTTTTTCTCCCTTTTCTACATACAATCCAAACAAAGTTACAATAATACATGTATTAAGACTGAACCATTAAATAATTCAATTCCCGTTTAAAATCAAAAACAAGTACATTTAGTTTTTAGTTTTAGAATGAAAACGAAAGAATAGACACCTGAACGTGATTAATCTAAGCCTACGTAACACTTTTGTTCACACTAATGTCAATCCTACGAATGTTAGCTGGTGCCGTGTCTTTGACAATCTGCGTCACTAAATTGAAAAATGAAAAGAATTTCCACGTTTGTTGTGCTTCAGCTATGAAACGTGCAATTGTATTGTGACTATGTTAGTCATTTTCATTGACTTTAAATAGCAGCATAGTATTTTGAATATAGTCTCCAACAAAAGTGTTTATTGTCCGTAAGTAAATAGTTAGCGGTTTGTTTAGAGCCCTTTGTTGAAATAGACTTTCTGTGGAAGTTTTCCGGAGCTCTTTTTCACCATTTCGCTATGGGCTTCTGGCTCGAAGCGCTCAATTGTTTTGATGTCCAAAGAGCATTTCTGTGGGAACATCGAACAGGCCGTGGGAACCATAAACATCAAACTGGAATTTGAAACGGAAATAATTTTCAGTCAATGTTTGAAAAGATTAAAAAAATATGAAAATATTCATGCTAAAATTGCTTACAATCCACCAACAGCAAGAGTTTGGAACGGTGCGTGCAATATGCTCAAGCGTTTAAACCATGGGTACTTTTCCAGCCTTTCCATAATGACAGGCAGTACAAGCATTCCCGGTGCTGCCATCAATATACGCGAGAAAACCACTTGTGAGATGCCCTTCACGGCAGCAAGACGACTTTTACCGATCTCATTCCCCTTTTCATCTTGAACACTCACGCCATCAATCAATTCATTTTGCCGCATGAACGGGATGTTTACACAATTGGCCGCTGCAACTGCGGCAAATGGGACATATCTCTGTTTGAACGAAATATTTTTGAATCGTTTTTAAAATAAAAAAAACGACAAAATTTATAATTATACCTGTGCAAATGGGCTAGCATGCTTTTGCAAGAAACCCTTGAAGCCGATAGCAACCACCAGGGCGCTGGAAGTAGCAGTCGCATATGAAACACCCAACTGGGTTACAGTGAGCGGAGAGTTTGCATTGCGATTTGTGTAGTTGACTAGAGCGTTGAATGATTGATTGACCCACTGCCAAAAGACGATTGCTGGCACCGTGCGATAGAACTGAAGCATCGCACCCGTGATCAACATGCCGCCAGGCACTTGAAAACTCATTCGACCAAAGAGATTTTGCTTTTCACCTGAATCCGGGTGGAATGCTGATTCGTACAGTTTTTTCGCGTAAATAATTTGTTCACGCGTCGTTGAAACTGGCTCCTTGCCCAGTCTGCAATTTCAATACGGTTCAGTAAAAAAAAATAAAATTAAATCATGAATCATATAGTTTGGTGTGAACACGAAAAAAAAAACATCTGTTTTACCATACGTGTATTACGCAGGCTATGTCTGATAAGAGCACACATACCGATATTGTTCGACCAATTTCTTGGCCTTGTCCAAATCTTCTTCGGAGGTCATGCATGTCGTTGGATCCGTAATGAAGGCAAAATGTTTGAATCGTCCGATGAATGTTGATTGGTCCCATAGTGGCTTGTCCACATCAATTCTATCGGGGTCGTCGAATTTTATCGCCATTTTTTTTTTCGGTTGTCACACTCAAAATCGCTTCTCGCTTTACTTGATTTCAAGCCAATGCAACTCAATCGAATACGGAACAATATTTCTAAAAACAATGTATGCGGATGGACTTATGTAATTGGTTATTTTTGTCGTTTTACACTTGTTTCTCTAACTTCTCTGTATTTTGACAACAACACACACTGAACGAAGCAGCCAATTCGATTGACACCTCAATGATGATATTTACTTAGTTCTTTTTTCAGTGTGAATCGATTTAAAAGTTCAGACTTTGGAGCCAGAATGAACAATCTAGTGCACAACAACACCGGTTTGGTGTGATCCAAACTAAAACAAAACGAATACTACACACAGCATTTGTGTACAAATAAAAAAAAATGTCTAGAGAATTTGACAGTAGCAGCAACACATATGCACATACACATGCAAACAAGCGAACGAACTTCACACTGTTGTGTGTCTCCCAACTGCAGTCACAATAGAATACGCCATGTACCGAAGATGTGCGTGTGTGTCTATATGGATGTGGTCGTTGGAATCGCAAAAAATATTGATTATGTTTGCGTACGATTTGTTATGTTTGAACTACAACAGCCAACACGAAGGAATATGAGTAAACGATTTATTTGTACGTAATGAGTAAAAATGCTTATCGGCTCTAAATATAGAATTTTGAATGGGAAATTTCCCTTGTTTTCGTATGAAATGTCATCAGAAATGCGATATTTTCAGTTCTACAAGACTTTATTTCTATTTTCGTTGTAATTTCTTCGAAATTTTCTTACAACAATTCATTTTGCTTTAATGCATTGGACTTAAAGTATTACTTTTTTTTGTTTTACACAATTTTCTCTTTTTGTTTACGTTTCTACAATTCGTTATTAATTCATATTGAATTTTTTCCGTTTCAATAGATTGAATTGTCCATATTCAACATATCTATCACTGATATATGGAATGAAAAATGCCCTGTAAATGGCCTGCGATTTTTCGGCATTTAAAAATGGGATTGACTTAACAGTGGTCCACTCTTTGGTATTTTTTGCATAGTTTGGTTCGAGTTCGGTCTCTTTGCCCACATCGAGATCGAATAAGAAATGGCATTTTGTGTAATTAAAGTACATTGCTTCGTTCTCCTGGTTCATGTCATTGAAATAATCGTGAACGATTTTCGTGCCGTTGATACTTTCTTCATAGTAAGCCGGTAGCATGCCTTTGAATTCCGATTTGAGGAAACGAAGTCGGAAATTCGGTGCTGGCAAAAAGAAACTTCCCGGGAAACGGTACCAATCTTTGCCGACGCAAACGTTGTAGCGAACATTTGGTGAATGGTTTTGTTCCAAGTGGAACGTATTCAGCTCGATCATAACATCCATTGGTGCATGATAGTTGTAGTAGAGAGATGCAACGCGTGACAATCCTAAAATTGATGGTAAGATCATTACAATGCCAACAACCCACATGGTATGGTCCAGATAGTGTGACCCAGGTGGAAATGGTTTAACAGCTACTCGCAGACGATACAATAGCTTTTGAATAGCATCGACCGAAATTGCGCCGCACAACGATATCATCGGGTAGATTGGATAGAGAAAACGCTCCTCTTTATGCGGTTGCACCATAAAAATTAACAACCATATATATAGTGGTCCCAGGCTTAAATAATATGGCAGATAAAGTGTTGGTGTTATTTTCGCTGGTACAACCAAATGAACGATAAACAGAACCAATGGCGTTACCAATGCCAAAACCCATACGATATTATAGTTTAAGAAGCCATTGATAAAGTAATATGTCCACGGTTCGGTGCCGTACAAATTTGGTCCGTGCGACGTGAACACATTGTAGAGAACCATATTCAGCGGGGCGATTGTTAGTTTGCCAAAGTAATTCGAATCGATGGACACCATTGGTAAAAGTATCGTTGAACCAGAAATTCCAGCCCAAAATGCAAATAGTCGATATTTCTTCTGAATCACCAGAACATCATAGCACAGTGGCAGTGATAGTACAGCTGCAAATGGCCAACCCAATATTGTTGATATCGCAACGAAAAAGATGGCCAACGGGTATTTCTGATGCCACCAGCATGCCAATGATGCACAGCTAAAGTACATTGAGAATGTACTCGGCAACAGTGCAGTGCCCGCGGTAAACATTCCTGCGCTGAACAACTGGAAAATTAGCCAGATTCGTCCGATTTGTACACCAAATTCACGGCACACCGCTCTGAAATTGAGGAAATTCTTGTTAGTCAGATCGATTGGCACATCGGATTGGTGTCAATTGATTGGTTTCAAGTATTTTCACCTGTAGAAATACGCTTCCATAACGGCACAACACAAGCCAAGCAGACAACGAACGAAGTAGAACACAAGCATCGGATTTGGATGAAAGAGAATGTTGTAAAACCAAGCCGGAACAGCGTGAAACAGCAGATACGTATACGAACGCAATGCAAATTCTGGACTGTATTCCCAAGTTTGTAAGCCATGGCTATAGACAAGAAAGTGCAATGGTTCCCAGTAGTTGAATGTTTCGTCACAATCCGATATGTGACTCCAAATTGCTGCACAAAAACGCGCACTCAGTATTGCTTTGAACGCCACATCAGCTCCCGGTTTCAATTCACTCAACCTTGCTATCGCCACTTTTTCACAACTTTTTTCGCAGAAAAAAGAATATTAAAAGAAATTGTTATTTAATAAAATTGTTTGGAATTCGAAACACGATTTTTTCGTGTAAAATACTGAACAAATCAATAGAAAATCTACTAATTTATCGTTATTTTCTTGTTGTAGTCTTACTTGTTTGGTTTTGGTTCAAAAGTGTCCGGTTTTGGTTTTGTTTTTTTCGGTCCTCGTTTCGGTAGTGGTTGAATATTGTCGGTTTTTGTTAAACGATGCCTTATGCCCGGTGTCATTTTTGATGCGAATGATTAATTTTGATCGAAGCCAATGTTGATTTGTTTTTTTTCTTAATTTTGAATTTTCCTCCTGTACCAAAGTTACATTCTATTTGATGTTTTCAAGAATGGATGAGATAAATGATGTCTTGTTGGTGACGTTCTGTTTAATTTAGATGTCGTGATTTTCACATCACCATCAATGCCCATATGTATATATATGTGTGTGTGTGTGCGTGACTTGACAAATGAAAACATTGACAATTTCGAAAGAATAACGCCTAAACATCAACAACTGTCAAATCGATGAAGCGCTCAACTTGAACAGTTCCGCTGAATTCATGTGGAATTTATGAACTATTTTTAATGATTTATCATTTTGATTGATAAAAAACATGTTCTTTTCATAAATCAAATGGTTTTTTTTAGTTTATTTGGTATAAATTAAGCTTCACTCTTTTCATCGTTTTAATGTGTTGAACATTAGCTGTTATTGTTGTTGTAGTTGTAGCCGTCTAGTGTGTCGCATTACAACACGATGCTATCAATACGCACGTATTAACGGTTCATACAATGGTTTCATTGTCACGGAATTAAGAACAGAAATCGGTGTATGATCCCAAGTCAAATGGCTTTTGACTACATGATTGGATCTTGATTCAAGATTCTCAAGTAAAGCATCAATTTTTTCTAATTTAATCATTATCTATCGATGCAATCCAATATGACGCAATGCTATGTCACATGTACACGCAGTTTTGTAAGCATATTTCAAGTTCACGGACTCGTATCGAACTGTGATTGATAGTGCCCGAGTGTAGTTTGATGCGAACGTACACTTTGTGATATGAATATACCGTTGAGCATCAAACTGTTTGTGCTTACAATTGCATAGAGTAAAAAAAAAACAAAAAAAAAAATAATCGCACTACATCTTATCGCTAATTAAACGTGTGGCAAATCCAAAATCAATGGTCTCAATACGCTATTAAATGTTGCATTTCAGACAGTTTGATAATGTATTGCTTGTCACGAACAGCATGGACAGAGTTTCAGTTTACTTAAAAATGTGATAGCGTCCCATTTGCTCAAACATGAAATGATTTCGTATTATTTTTGTTGTATTTTTCGTATTTGTTTTGGTTGTGTTTAAGAAAAAAAATTAGAAATAGTGAAACATCGCAACTAAAATTGTTGTAATTCAGTGCATTACATTGGACGCACGTGCTCAAGTGACTCATAAACATTGACGATAATCATAATGAAATCGCTCCGAAAGTTTCTATTGCGTAAAAATGCGTACAGCCGATTAGAATTGGACTCTAGTGTTGTGTAAGAAAATATAGGGATTTCAAATGCTTGCCAAAAAATTTCTTGGCTGTCGATTTTATGGCATAAAATATGAATTTGATCTAAGACAAAAAACCGAATTCACATTTCAAATGACACAATTTTTTTCTCAGTAATATCAGCTACGGTGCTTTTGATGAGCATATCCCCTCGTCCAATGAAACCTATGTCGATATACAAGCTGCAAAAAATGACGGAGAGTGTACAACATCGACGATTTGTGGAATTGAAACTACAAATAACACTACAAAATGTGAACGAAAAAATGTAAGGTAAATGTTTGTTTGTTAACATCTGGTCACCCGTGGTCAGATTGATGGAATTGCTTGGTTCTCCTCATTTTAGTCACAAAAAGTATTGAATGTGCTTAAAATACTTTTTCTGTTAATCATTTGGATGCTGTCCACGGGAATTTTGATGTCGAAGGATGAAAAAGTTTTAAAGTATCATCAATTGGTGATTTCAGTGGGTCAAAATAAAAGTGAGTCATGACTTATTTTTTGCTTGATTATTCATTCAGTTATGTGATTTATGCTTATCAATCGCAGGTTATATGCTTAATGAGGCACCGCTTGTCCCTCGGATCGGTGTCATTGTGCGTGGTGCATTTGCCGATGACAATAGCAATACGAGTAACTTCGTCTACATCAAAGTTCAGCAGTTTATCACCGCGACCGATACAAATCTTGATAGTACTTTGATAGATAATGATGAAATGACTCTGAAAATTCCGATTATTGAGAATATTAGCAACATCGATACAGCAAACGAGATAAATAAATTCCATACGTTCTACTTGGACGCGAATATTTTCCAGCAAATCGTTGAAAATATTACTACGTTGCGTCTTCAAATCACTACAAATCTTCCAATCAATTTTCCTATCAATTTAGCATATGATTCATCTCCAATTGATAAATCGATGGGTGTCATTTATGCGGCGGCTATTTTAATCGGCTTGTACATCATGATCATTTGGGAAATTGTTGATCGAACGTTCGCAGCAATGCTTTCGTCCACCATTGCTATTGCCGTTTTGTCATTGATGAATGAACGACCCACAATGCCAGAGATTTTGTCTTGGATTGACGTGGAAACGCTACTTTTACTCTTTGGAATGATGATTCTAGTTGGCCTTTTGTCTAGAACTGGTCTTTTTGACTATTTAGCTGTTTATGCGTTTGAGGTACGATTATTATACAATGACATCCAACAAAGAAGATTTAGTTGCATAGATAATGACAATTCAAGTAAAAAATATCAATTTAAATAGATCGCCAAGGGTAGGATTTGGCCACTCATATACTGTTTGTGTTTGTTTACGGCGATTTTGTCTGCAATTCTGGACAATGTAACCACTTTGCTGCTGATGACACCCATTTCGATTCGCCTGTGTGAGGCCATGAAACTGAATCCCATTCCAATCCTAACCACAATGATCATTTTTTCAAATATCGGTAAGTCAAGGTCGTCGAATATTCGAATGATTTCAAAATGAACTGTTTCTATTTTCTTTTATGGTCCAGGCGGAGCAATGACTCCAGTGGGTGACCCGCCGAACATAATAATCGCATCAAATCCGCACGTTGTGAAACATGTAAGTAGAATACGTCTATGCCAACGATTGTGTCATTTTTGTCATGAAGCATTTGTTCTTCGCCCAACTATTTATCATATGATCATTTATTTACAGAATGTGGACTTTCTGAATTTCACCATTCACATGTCGGTTGGTGCCATTTTCGTAATTATTCAAACATTTTTGCAATTGCGTTTAAAATTTCGCACTATTGGCGATTTGCGTGTTATCAATTCAATGACAAGTTGCATTCGAGAAGAAATTGCCGATGACAGTACAATTTCTATTGAAACCTATGGCCGAATGCTGGAAGAGCTAAAAGAAAGGGTTCGCGAATTAATTTTTTTTTATGATTACAATCTCAAATATTTAATTATCCTCCTTGCTTTTTACAGTATCCAATTCGAAAGTTGTCGTTACTCATCAAATCAGCGGTGGCATTTGCATTTGTTCTGGGTTGCTTTTTTCTTCACTCCCTTCCATATATCGGACGGCTATCGCTCGGCTGGATTACCCTGCTTGGAGTCATTCTACTGTTAATCTTATACGATCGTCGAACCATTGAATCGGCATTGGAACGCGTTGAATGGTCGACTCTGTTGTTTTTTGCCATATTATTCGTGCTGATGGAATCCCTAGCCAAACTTGGACTCATTCATTTCGTAGGGAATCAAGCGAAAAACATTGTTTTATCTGTCAGCGAAGGGTCACGTTTGGCCGTTGCCATTTTAATCATACTGTGGGTGTCTGCACTCGCTTCAGCTTTTGTTGACAACATTCCACTCACCACGATGATGATTCGAATTACGGTTTCGTTAGCCGAGACACAATCACTCAATCTACCGTTGCAACCACTTCTTTGGGCTTTATCATTCGGAGCGTGCTTAGGCGGTAAAATGGAGATTTCTTTTATTTTTTTAGACACATTACATTTCTTAATTTAAAAAATACTAAACGAAATGTCGTCTTTATAGGAAACGGAACACTAATTGGCGCTTCATCCAATATTGTATGTGCTAGCGTTGCTGAAAAACATGGATATCACTTCACATTCATGAAATATTTCAAGTAAAAGAAAAAACAATTATTTTAATAGAACCATAATTTCATGATAACTTTTCTCTTTTCGCAGAATTGCATTCCCTGCGATGATTGGCAGTTTGGTCGTGATAAGTGGATATCTCTATGTATCTCATGTCTTTTTCACGTGGCATTGATTAATTCAATTGTTTTGTATCATTTGTGTTGTACAGTACATATTGAATATCTAGTGTAAAAATATCGTGTATATATTTATATCAAGTGAACATTGACTTGTTCAAGTGTTCATTCATTGTCGAAATTGTAAAATTGTAAACTGCTAATTAAGCTAATTCACAGATGTGCAAAATTGATTCGTGCATAATATCATTCGGTTTTTGTTGAAATAACGTAGAATTATTTTTATAGAAGAAAAAAACGCGCTGAGAGTGATAATTTGCAGCGCAAATATCTCAACGCTGAATTTCTTCCAATTGTGAATAAACGTTTAGGCCATGTAACTAAATTGATCGTGCTAAACGATTCTGTTGCTAAGTTATCAAATAATAAACCGAGAATTGATAACAAATATTCTTATATATGAATGGTTTGGAGCGAAAATGTAATACAGAAAAGTTGAGCGGAAAAATGTCAAATGAAAAGGGATAGCTATATAGTTCACTATAGTTTACTATAGTTTACTATACAGTGTACTATATGGCTATCCCTTTTCCGCTCATTCATCATCGACATTTTTCCCCTCAACTTTTCTGTATTACATTTTTGCTCCAAACCATTCATATGTCTTTCCTATTTCACAATCTATGGAAATTTTTTCAATGTATTTTGCTTGAAATTTCTCATAATAGTCAAGATTTGTGCGTTTCAGGTTTCAGTTTCTTGGCGGATTTCAACGGAGATACACTGTAAGTTTTCGGAGGGGAATGAGTAATCTAGATACAGTGCGAAATAGCGGTTTCAACTGTTTTTGGATGAATTTACACTAATTTTAGGGGAAAATGTGTTATTGCTTATGCGAACGCTCAAGT